AGTTCCCCCCCCCCCCCACACACATTTAAAAAATATACAATCTATCTTATATTATTTTTGTTTATTTAATCTTAAACAAAAAAAAACATTAAAAATGTGCAAAATTATTTATGCATTAAAAAACGATAGAAAAAACCAACATGTACATATTTTTTTATAATTCATTTTAAACTGGTCTTTTTTTATTTTGAATTAAAATTTTTATTCAAGTTTTTTAATTTGTAATAATTTAAAAATAATCTTTCCTTTATGAAAGCACCACAAACGTATCCGTTTCCGAAAAAATATTACCTTCCGGACTTGGTGATTACCATTTCTGTTCCGTATTCATGGAACTCATCCCACAGCTCCATTGTCTCGAGGATAACCTAGAGAATTGGGGAGTTTAGCTGAACCTTTGATGTATAGTAGGGGGAGGGGGTGGGTGGGGGTATACTTGGGTCGAGGGTGGGATTGTTACAAAGGGGAATTTTCGGAAAAATAAATCTTTACTTTTGGGTCATCATTAGGGTTCTCAACTTCTTCTAGTAAATGATCTCCAGTGTTCCTATGCAACCCGTTCTCAAGAAACAAAGGGGAGCTGTGCACGTAGCTGTTGGTGGGGGCAAGAATAGACAGCAACCCAGGGCCCCCCGGCAGATACTGGGCTGGAGGATGGTTAGAACCACTGTCGAATTTCATCGTCCCTGATTCTTAATTTATATTCATCAAGCGTTCCTTCACAAAGAACTGGTGTCTGATACTCTGGTCTATGTATATAGAAGAACTGGTGTCTGATATAAATAATTTTCCAATATCGTTTTCAGGGTGTTACCCCCATTCATCGAACCGGGCCAAAACTAGGCCCTGTCCGTCTGCCTGCCGCCAGCCTGACCCGACACGGATACTGGAAAGGCAGGAATGGACACTAGACCTGAATAAAAGTGCAGACGGTTTTCTAAATGCTGAGCCGGCAATAATTTGGTCTAAAACCAATAATTTCTCCATCTTTTCCAGATATAGTTTATCAATAACTTCACTCCTCAGATCTTTTAATTGAATTAAACCGTTTTGCAAGATTGTGACATAATAACAAAATATTGTTATGCAAAAATGTTGAAAAGTGAATTAGTTTGATGCTGCCAACACTACATTTCACAAATTCCTTGACAATAGTTAAACTATTTACCAAAACACATATTTTGTGTGTTGCAAGTGCAACCAAATAATTTAAGTCTGTATCACAAAATCAACTTTGTAATTACTATATGTGTGCAACCTGATGGTGTATTATACTTTTAATTTAAAGAATTTTTACTTTGAAATATCTAAGGTTTTCAACATAGGGTTGCAAAGATACAAGGTTTATAAGAAAACCAGAGACTCAATTCCTTTATCATATTTGTTTATTTTTGTTGTGAATATGATGAACGAAAAGAAGCAACTTTATGTATCCTTTAATACAGTTTATAATACTGAAAATATCTAAATACTGAATTCCTAGTTACGGAAAAGCAAAATGTGCACGCTCTCACTCAAAATTCAATCAGCATTTTGTCAATAACTTCAGTTGTAACTTCTACAAACTGAATAAAGTTAGAAACCATTGTGTACAGGTCCAAAATGCGTAAATGCCGGCCTGAGTTAAACAAATATTATAGGATATAAATGCAAAGGCCAATTAAGGATTTGCCAAACTTTAAAGTTGGTCCAATATTGAAAACTAAAGCTCCCTGTAGCTCTATAGAGCTCCTAGTATTCCTTATTGTACCCCTATACAGTTCCCAGTACTTATATGCAGCTCCTATAAACCCTGCTCCCTGTCCCCTATACAGCTCCTAATATCCCTAGGCTCCCTGTACCCCTATACAGCTCCTATATCCCTAGGCTCCTTGTACCCCTATACAGCTTTTACTACCCTTTTATAGATTCTAGTACCCTATACAGCTCCCAGTACCCATATACAGCTCCTAATAAAGATAAGACTGGGAGGGGGAAGGAAGGGGCTTGGTCAAGAGTAATTTTCATCTGGGTTCGAGTTGAAGGAGAATAGGAGGAAGTCCGGTTGGAAGATATAGAGATAACTTAGTTATCAGTTCAGGACTCCAGTAGTAATGGTTCAATATCTGATCCAAAACTATACCATTAACATTTCCTAAATCAATTTGAATCCTTCTCCCCTGAAACAATATTCTTCTCAACTTTTTCTTCTTCTTTTTTTGTTAATCTTTGTGTACTTTTTCTTCTTGTTCATCTGATTATCATTCTTGTTCTAGTTCTTCTGGCTCTTGTTGTTCTTCTTCTTACTATTTTTCTTTTCTAGTTATTGATCTTGTTCTTTTGTCTTTTATTAACTCTTCTTGTTTTTGTTCCTACTCTTTTTTCTTTCTTATTCTTGTTCTTCTTGTTGGTTTTCTTCTTTGTCTTCTTGTTAGTCTTGTTCTTGTTCATGATCTTCTTTTATTTCTTATTCTTGTTTTTGCATCTTCTTGTGCTTCTTGTTGGTCTTCTTCTTCGTGTTCTTACTCCTCTCGTTCTTGCTTGTGTTCTTATTTTATTTTTTATTCTTATTCTCGTTCTTGTTCTCATGTTCTTCTTGTTGGTCCTGTTTTTAGTTTTCTTGTTCTTGTTCTTACTCTTTTTTCTTTCTTATTATTGTTCTTCTTGTTGGTCTTCTTCTTTGTCTTCTTTTTAGTCTTGTTCTTGTTTATTTTCTTGATTGATCTTCTTTTATTTCTTATTCTCGTTCTTGTTCTCATGATCTTCTTGTTGGTCCTCTTTTTCGTGTTCTTGTTCTTTTTCTTGTTATTATTGTTGTTCTTTTCTTCTTGTTCTTCTTGATCTTGTTGTTGTTGTTCTTCTTCTTTTAACAATATCCAGATAATGAATTAACAAAGTATTGAAGTTGCAATATAAAGGTTTTTATTCAAGGAGATTAATTTTATATTTTCAATTAATGGAGAAATAAATTTGAATTTATTTCATCAAATCATTCCCACTAAACTTTCTAGTCAGAAATGAACCAACTGTGGAACCAACCAAATCAAATGCAGAATTAAAGTGTGGCCCAAAACACATTGTAATTACACCATATAGTTTCAGTAGAAGTAAATATTTCCGTTTACTGATAGCGCCGATTGAAGTATTCATAACCCTTATTAGATAATGAGATAGATAGAAAAATACCACCATACTATTTCTATTGGTTCAGAATAGACAACAAACACATGACTGAACCCTGATTGGATCAGGCGCTAATGGACTCGGCATACAGGAGTGGTTAAGTGAAGACTTTTTATCGTATATAATAATAGGAGTGTTCGACCAAAATGCAGTCTTCCAGTTTTACTAAGCAAAAAATATATCTAAACTTCAATTTATTAAATGAATTTAATATTGACGATATGAATTTAGAAAACAAAGTAGATAGCTGACATTTTTAAAATAAAAAACAACCTGTTTTAACTATAAACAAATGCGGGTAGAAAAAAGGGTTGTAAAACAGCTGTTCAAAGTAACAACATTACAAAATATAGAACGTTAAATATAATTTACATTAAATTTACAAACTACTTAAAAAAAAATATTTTTGTGAAACGTATTTATTTCAACATAAGTTACAAAATTAAAAGCATCTGTTTTCTTTGAGAAAAAGAATAAAACAAAGATGAAAAAATTGCAGCCAAAAGTAGTATAAAAGTAATTTTCTTCTCGTATTCTTGTACAAATGTAAGATGTCCTCTCTGAAAATGTCCCTCTGATTCCTACAATTTGCTGATATTTTCTGCATCATTACCCCTCGCTTACTCCTCCTTACCCCCTCCCCTCCCCCTCCTTATCTCTTCTGCACTAGGGTGTGACAATTTTCCAAAAAGTTCTCCTATTTAACTTTGCCATTGTCAAACATGTATTATGTGTGCACAAAACTTAGTATTTACAATAAAACGGTCAATCAAAATAAAGTAGTGCATTATGCATAATTGGCAATGATGAATAAAAAGGTTTGTCTGACATTTTGAATGGGTTCAGTACACGCTGTTATCTGGCAGGCCGGTACAAACTGGGCAGGTCCTGTTCGAATTCAAATTTACTACGGGGATAGGGTGGACTGCCTCTTTTCATTAAAACGTGCTAACTAGCTTTTAAAATTAGATAAATTGAACAGCTGCATCATTCAGAGATATTCTAAACTATTAAGTAAATTTTTAAGTAGAAAGGAAGAGGGGTAGGATTATGAGCATGTGGAAAAAATACTCATGAAAACAACTACAAAATATATCTATAGTTTTAAAACAAATTATTTTAGCGATATAACTATAGTTGTTCACAAATTAAACAGATATAAAGTCATAATTCTATGAAGCTACATTTTGTTTACAATAGCCTTTCATTATCCTCTCATTATAACTTCTTCAATATTCCAAAACACATGTGATGGATAATATACATCGGGTCAAATGATTAAAGTAGAACTTTTCGAAGTGGATTTAACAGTCAATATTCCAGAAAGCTGTGATAGACTTTCAATCACAATTTGACCCATTAATCATAATTTTTTAGCCTTTTTTCTTAAATACTTTTTTGTCAGCATATACATTTTGAATAAAAAAGTACAGCATAAACAAATCCGTAAGTTAATAGATTGTTGAATTAAAGACCAAAATACGTTTGATTTCAAATAGAAGAAACCGAATGCTGCTGGTTAGTCCGGGGTACACATAAGTAAATACAGGCTATTGATTAAACTTGAAATCGTCCGTTTTAAATATCAACAGGAGTTAAAGTAAAATTCGAAAATTTAAATTTTACATTCTATCAGTTTATTTTTCTGAAATAATGGAAAATTTGGACTCTGATAAAATGTAAAAGTCTAAAAGATTCAATATTAAACTTCTCAGATTCTGTAGAGCCTCCTAAATGCATAAAAAAGATTCCCAACCTTTCTTGTAAGGATGACTCTTCTCCTTGTCTCTGGTAAGGTTGGATGAGTATTCCCTACTCCGGGTCCTGTCTACTACACGGAGTAAACCAAGATTGGTTCTATGGGTCCCTCTCGATGTGTGTGACAAGTTACACTGCGAGGAAATTGGTTGGAAAATTATAGAATTGGTCAAATAATCACAATTTCAACTGTCTTGAAGTTTTAGGGAATAAACGGATAGATGTGGGTTGGGGGAATTGAAAGAAACGATGGGTGATATTTTCTGCATCATTACCCCT